CTGCTGGAACCTGAAATCGGACTCATAATGTCTTATGTTTTATAAATACTATTAGTCATCCTAATGAGATTTGCTGTTTTGCAAGACATCTACAGCAGAAGCAGCTTGGCCACACACGAAGGAGGACGCTGCCTCACCTGTTACTCATTTATATTGAAAGAAACTGTTAACACCCTGACCACATTAACACAGTAATGCTCCTGCAGACCGAAGTAGCTACTAACTATGTGTAACAAGACCGGCACACAAAGGGGGCCCAAATTCAAGATGATGGAAGCTCAACCCTTGGTAAAAAAAAAAAAACCTAAGCAAACAAACAAACAAAAATCCCACCATAAATATTCTCTAGGGAGCATGATGTGGGGGATAATTCTGTTTTCACAACTTAGGCGAAGTATGCTCAATTATAACCATATACAAGAAGCTCATTGTTACACTAAGAGGCAGAGGTCACATTATAGTAAGTACTGCACAAGCACATAGTACCACAAATGGTTCCTGAAGTAAGGAGTACAAGAAGACTAAGGTGGGGCAAAATAAACATAGACCTGGTTTGACTGTGTTTTCTAAAGAGCATTTTTGGACACAAACTGAGTTTTTAAGAGCACCGTTTCTCTCAAGATTGGAGACCGGGATACATCATGGCAAACTTTGTCTGACTGAGAAAAGCCAGAGCTCCCAACTGCAAAGACATTTCAGTGTTCATTTCTGGCTATGAAGTCTTAGTTTTGCTTGTCCAAAATACAGCTTTTTTTCTATATCCGAAAGACTGATTTCTAGCCAAATTTTAGTAATTTTTTCCACTTTACAGGTTTGGCACTTTGAGCAGCTTGAACATATTTGCTTCAACTAAACAAATTGATATATTCTCAGTGAAAAAGAAGCCCAGCAAAACATCCACAAGCCATTTTTCAGCTCTTTCAGACTTAGCTTGTCTAACATACCAGTTCTGAGATAATAATTACATTGTTTTCCTGTTCTTAAGTCTCATTTTGTTAACAACCAAATTCAGCTTCTCTGATGCCTGACAGTGTTCTCCTTATTCTGAGATCTTAATTATGTCTTTCTACATCAGCATTCCTCTGCTTACCAGCGTGTTCTGCCAGCTGAATGAAACCAAGGAGGAACTGGATGCATGGATGGCAGGTTGTCTGCAACTTAATCATTTTTATATTAATGTAAGCACACCTGCTATATGAGGCTTTAATGAAGACGAGCAGATAGAAGTTGCAGAATATGGCCCACATACTTGTCTCAGTGTCTGCAGCTTGCTAGGAATTGTATTTCCACATAGTGGAGATGCCTACAGTTGTTTTAATCATGCCCACAATGGCTGATACAGTAGTCACACTCTGGGATGGATTCTCTACATTTGTTCCTTTAATGAAACCTGCCTGTGATTCAGTGATGATGATTTGACTCATACATTTTAATTCACTCCTACCCAAGCCACACTTTGTCACAGTGGTAGCTTCACAACTGCTGTGGCCAAGGGCAAAATGACAGCAGCTGGCTTGGCTTCCAGCATCACCTCTCCCAAGACCACCAGCTTACTCTGTAGGGCAACAGGCTTCATAGTTGGCTCTCTCACCATCTTATCTGTCAGGTTCTAGAAACCATTGCAGCATGAAAAGGGGTGATAACAGTACTCAACCAATAATAAAAAGTGCTGTTTTCTAAAGGACAACTACACTTCAACTAAAGCCCTTGTGGCAATACCAAGGGGGACATTCTTTACCCGCATGACATCTGAGTGGCAATTTCTCTCTTGGAAGCCACCTCTGAAGCTCCTTCCGGTAAACTGCAAGAGCAGCCAGATACCTATAGCAGCTGATTCAGAAATTAAATCAGATGATTTCTACGATTTATTTGTCCTCAAGAAGACTGTCTAGCTCTCATTCTTGCTCTACTTCTGACTGTTGTATGCTTTTGACCATTAAACAAGCTGAAGGCATTTCTGTGACAAGAAACCACAATTGTCAGGATAGGGGAAGAAATGTGAGCCAGACCCTACACTTGTTGCATGTCAGTGGGAGCTCTGAGCAAAGCACCTAGGTAGCTTTCATCTCTTCCAGTATTATCCACTAAAGCTTTATGTAACAACAAGCATTACATTTATATACAAATTTACAAATTTAGTCACAAGGATAACATAAACAAACCAGTTGAGGAAATTTCTCTTTAAAGTAAGATTGTGTATAAATTAAAACTGGCAACTCGTTTTGGTTATTTGCTACTCATACTTCATCCCTTAATCACTTTACCAGTTTCATTTTTGTACACAACACCCATTTTCATGAGTTACGTCATTCACACCGTCACTTTTACAGTTTCTTGGCTGAGACCTCTTATATCCACATCTTCTAGCAACTCCCATTGCTTAACATTTTCTGTTGCTTTTCTACACAAAAAAATTGTATGAAGTCAGCCTCATCTGAGCAGTGCAAGAGAAGCCACTTATTACTAATACAAGTTTTCTTCTCAGAGTTTTAGCTTTAGAGCTGGGGGAGACTGTAAGGCTGTCCACTGACACTATTTACAAACTGATTCTGGGCCATGGCATGAACTTGTTTTTCCACATAAGACTGTTCTTAGCATGGAAGAGCATGACATTTTCACCTTTAATTCTGGGGTGCTCTCTATTGTACCTTCAAAACTAGACCATTTCTATGACCAGTACAGGAAATTCCTAATTTTATTTCAATGGGAGTTCCAGAAGAACATTTGCAATGTTATAACCCTGCATGAGTATTCTCGTGGCCATATATTTGAGTTCTGCTAGTACTTAGCAAATAGCATGGTGATCTTGCAACCAGCAATTAAGTGGCAACGCATACACGATACAAAGCTTTTACAGGACAGCCCATATGTTCCCACAGTTCAGGGAAACCTTAATTAGCAGTTGCGATTTCAACTGCAATTTCCCTTATATTGACAGTACTATGCTTCCAGATTACACAGACAGCAACAGAACAGGAGCATGACTATATAGAGATGGAGGTGCATAAGCCCTTGGCAAGAACATCTCTTTGGAAGGCAAGGGTATGTGAATTCATACTAGTCAGCCCACCCTTATTGATACCAACATACCACAGCAAGTTCAAATAAGGGTAAACCAGACATGGCATTTAGAGATACGTGGAACTTCATGGAGAATCCCACTGTAAGAGTAAAGCAAGTGCACAAATGCAAAACGCATTAGCATCACTGGTGCTTTACAACCTGAGAACGTTAAATAACAGTACTAGCTGCAGGCACCTTGATGAAAAGCAACAATAAGGAGTGGTGAGAAGCAAGCAGATTAATTTTATTTTGTTTAAACTCCTATTTGTCGTAAATCTCAAAGAATGCCTGTTTCCTCTCTGCACTCTCTATGTAATAGCAGCTCCTTCAACCACGTAAAACAAGTGGGCCAAATTCTTTCTGAGAACATTTAATGGAGTTTAGACTTGTCTGAAGGAGTAACATTAGGATGAATTGAACTCACAGGCTATATAAAACAGGAGTTGTTATTCCAGTCTTGAGCCACTACATCACTCAACAAAAAAAACCCTCTATCTTCACCAGTAATATTTGATTTACATGGAAGAGAAGTCAAACAAAATTAGCCTGAAGCTGTGACAGCTCCCTGCCTAAAGGTAAAGTCTCCCTTTATTCTATACAGGCTAGGAGATTTTGCCAAACTTCTTCATGAAAGTCACAAGAACAATAAGCTTATCCCCTACAGCCAGAAAGTACCTAAGATTCATCTCATCACTTCACAATTCAAGGACAACTGTAAGTGACAGGCTGTGGTCCAGAAAACCACGACATGGATTACTGCAGCAGAAACCCAAACATCTTATGTATATGGTTTCAGCAATATAAAGCAACACCAGAGTTTGAGCAGCCAGTACATCAACTTTATTCAATGAGAAAACAGAACTTAGTAGTGCTTTGAGCAAACACAGGCATGACAGTTATTATTGTAGCAGATGAATAAAGGACAAAACCAGGGCAGATAGGACACTCAGCACAACTGTGACTAAGGTACAAAGTAACAGAACTTTCCTGTAAGAATGACAACAGAGATGAGGAGAACTGCTGTGATGTCACCAGGGAGGAACAATAGAAAAGAGGGCTGCAATATAAAAGACAGGACTATGAAGTTTGACAACTATCACCTTGGAAACCACATAAAAGCTTCAAGGTGAGGCTATAGCAGAAAGTTCACTGCCATGCACTAAAAGACATTTCCAGAAGATTAGTAATCCTGGACAAAGCTTGGTTCTGGCAGACAAAACCTTAGGCTAGTCTGAAAAAGGAGAATGATCTCCTTTGGCAACTCTCCATCACAGACCTTACCAGATTCTGCAACAAATGCCAGACTTACACCTGGGCTTCTTTGACATAAAAGATGGCATACATCTATATGGCTTTTTAAATTAAACAAAATCTGTACCAAAGCAAACAAGAAACCCTCTCCTGACCATGCTTATCCCACTTGAGAGAAAACAACCAACCCACGACAGTCACGTTACGTAGTACCACTGCTCGGAAACATGCAAGGTAACTACTGCAGTCACCAGGCCATGTAGAGAGCAGACCTATTTAAGCAAAATAATACAGATGCTGGTAATAACCTAGCTGTATTAGTATGAACTGTAAGTTCATACTGTAAGTTCAGTGTAAATAGCGTGCTCTACTGAAGAATGGTGACTGCAGCATAAGAACTGACATGGTGCAAACAACTTACACAGAAAAGAAACACTATGTCTTGGTATTTATGTAACAGCACAATACAGACTGTCCAGGTTTTAATCATCTTTGGGTTGTTCTACAAAAAAGGAACAGCAAACTTACATACAAACACCCTGGTTAAACAATAATGCTCCCAAAACTCCCTGTCTCACTTCATCCTTTAAATTTTTCAGACTGCACTGACAGCAGAACTTCCAGATTGGTGTTCGAGAAGCTTCCCTCCTCTGTGGTCTTGTGATTTGAGATGCACACAGCACAGAGCACTTTTGAAGCGAGTCTTTAATATTTTAAGAGAGAATTCTTTATTCACAGAATGTGCAACAACTCGTTCGAGCTATATGCAAAAATAAACCCTGAAATTCTAATCATGAAGATACAGGGGGAAAAAAAAAAAAAAGGCAGCACAGCAGTGTTCCAAGAGAATACACAATTCACAACTTTAAAATTCAAGCACTCCCTATGCCTGGAGCTCTCTTAAAATATTAACAATCAAATCTCTTCGGTAAGTGTACGGGGTATACTTTATTCTGAACCAGTGCCTTGGGAACAGGTTACCACTTGGGGCATAAATTTTCATCCCTTGTTTGCCCATCAGACCACGAAAGATCCTGTTGCGGGACAGGATTTTATCATAGAATTCAACCCCACCTCTGGCGTAGTCTTTGGAAACAGTAGCTGCCCTTCTGTCAGCCTTGCAGTCTAGGTGATAGGTCACAGCGTCGTAAGAAACGTAATAGCACATCAGTCCAGCAGCCGCAGTTATGAGGTTACAGATGCCACGAAGTATCACGGGGCCAGAAGAAAAACCCAGAAGTAGCTTTATAGCTCTCCCACAGAAAAATGTACCAGCTAAGCAAGTTGGAGCCACGGCTGCACTTGCTAAAGGGCTGCTGTTCTGCAAATACATAACTTCTCTGGCAAGGGCAAACTTCTGAGCTTCAAGAGAAAACGTCAGAGCTTCCTTCAAAGCAACTCCTTCATTGCTCTCCCAGTCTACTTCCTTGCCACTGATCACAACAACATGGTTGACTATTCCTTTTTTATTCTCAGCTGTGCTTTCAAAGTTAGGTGGGATGCCCACCAAAGAGCCTGCAGGGAACCAGGGGATTCCAGCACTCACAGGGTGGAAGCCAGAAACTGCAAAGGCTCGATACGAGTCAGCAGACTTCACACCAGTATCTTGAAGGACATCCTGAAAGACACCACAGAGCCTCTGTGAAAGCTCAGCTGGCTGCCCCTCTGACCAGCACTCATGCAACAGTTTGAACGTCTGATCAGGGAACACATGATAGGAAAGGTTAGCACCAAACAGTCCCATGCATGAAACGGCCAACAAAGTGATCCTGCGCTTCTTTAACCACACAGATGCCTTCTGCAGGAACCGCACTGCCATAGTGAAATCCTAACCTGTTTGTAACATAAAATCAGGAATTAAAGTGTGCATAAATGGGTCTCATCTCTGTAGCATTAAAAAAAAAAAAAAAGAGTCCAAAAATAATGAGAAGCAGAGCACAGTAACAGAAGAAACATCCTCTCTTTTACTTTAACAAAACACAAAACACCTTTACAGAGAAAGTGAAGCTCATTAATTTCTGAGCCTTGGAACATAGGACAATTGATACAAAGAATTAATTTCTCCCACTCCTCCAGTAAATCAATTGAGTGCAATAAAGACAATAAAGCCACCATACCTTCTCCTTCCCCCAGCAATCAATGCGCATTCTGTATTTACCCAACATACTTGCCTCGTCCTTGCAAGCACAGTCCTACTGTTGCACTCCACTACAAAGACTACAGATATTAAAGCCAGAAACAGCCAATAATTAATCTACACTAACCTCCTCTACAGTACAGTTCAAAAATTTTAATCAGTAGCATCAATACTAAGTTTAGTTACTTAAGCTTAACTACAACTACCAAAAGAGGATCACATTTTGATTTGAAAATTTCAGGAGGCAGAATTTTCATTCAGTTTGTTTTAATGGATAGTCAACTCACTATTAAAAAACCCTGAAACAACAACCCCCCCAAATGCCATCACAAACACAAGCACACACCCCTCCCAAAACCAGTATGTGCTTTTTCTAGATTTTTGGGGGGGTTTGGTGGGTTTGGGGTTTTTGCTTGTTTTTCCAGATTTCAACTTCCAGGCAGAGGCTGTAGCTTACTCAGCAAAAAGCTATTTTCAGAAAGCAGCATGCTTTCAGTTGCTACTTTAAAAATTTTGTCTCTGAAATAATTTCTCTGACAAATAATATGTGCAACCCAGAGCATAAACTGGAACAGAAATTGTTTCAGGGCAGACAACTTGGTTGTGACTCTTTAAATAAGCAGATAAAATTAAAAAACTCCCAAACCTGCCAACTCCTTCAGTTCAAGAGTCCTGCTTCCCTTGGAGAGTATAAGTTCCTTTTATGGTCCAAGCCACATGATGTGCTCTGCTCAGGAAAGCTCCCCTCTCTTACAAAATTCCATTTGCTACAGAATTGTCCCCTGGAATAATGCTACTATACATAGATAAAAGTGAACTAGGCACCTAAATCCAACAGACATCAGGGAAAATTGGATGCCCCTGTTTCCATCTGCATCTTGTAACGTCTGTTCTTGCAGGGCTTTAACACATGAGCTTCAGAGAATCTTGGTGCAGCTGTTGAAGACATTAGTATTTCCAGCTGTCCTGACAGGAAGCTGAGGTGGCAGAAGAAAACTATGCTTTGATAAAACAACCAATGTCTTAGTGTAGAGCATTATCAAAGGTGGGTTTCAGCTATGCTGCTGGGCTTTGTACGCAGCAGCTGAAACACAGACATATGTTGTCTTCTTCCACTCACGCTGAACAAGAACATCCCACAGAGGCGGAGAGTGGACAGCTGGGGGCTGTAACATCATAAAACAGCACTGCATGACATGCCAGGACACACCAGCCATGATCAACAGCAAATGAGTATTAACCACAGGGAAACAAAAAGAGATTAAATTAAAGGCAGTGTTTTACTAGGGGAAGAATAATCTTGTTTAATGTTTATACTGCACTGCACACATACTGAGTGCTTAAGAAAAACAATGATGCACGTACATATACAATAATTTAGTATGTATTTCTAAGTGTAATAAGTGGTGGTATTCTTGCATTCTGCTAAAGACTGGAGGCAGTGATTTGTTTGACAAAACTGTTTAAGAAAAATACGTTGAAGAGCCAAGAGCTTGGATGAAACCCAATTATGGGAGAAAACTTCCTTAATAATAGAGCTAAAACCCAGCAAATGGTAATAGTAAGCCCAAATGCCCTCTTTGTAGTTAAAAATCTCAGCAAATCTGGTAGTCTAGACCTGCTTGAAAAGGTCACGCCATTTACAGTGGGGAGGCCAGCACTTGTAAAGAGATGATTATATGAAGCCTATCACTTGATCCACACGTGAAGGTGAGCTCATGTTAGAGAAAACCCTCTCATTTGGGCTGCCTAACAGATCTTTTGAAGATTAGGAACACTGCAAGGAGAAAATTCAGCCTTCATGTTATGCCCACACCAGCACCAGGAAGGACAGACCATGTGAAAACTAGTCTACACTCCCTTTTTACATGACCAAATGGTGCTTGCCAAGCCCATGGAATGCTGAGTACTCCTCCTGGTCAGGGACTTGGGATGCCAGGAAGCACACCTGAACAGGCAGCCAGCTGACAGGTGAACCACAGGAGGGCTGGGCAGGAATCACTGTTCTTATCTACAAACTTCTCCTGAACAGCCAGAACAGACCCCTCGCAACCCCCTATGTTCTTGACTGGATTATGCCCAACAGTCCTGCCACACACCTAATGCAAGAATAAGCAGGAAATGCCAGCAGTATTCATTTTCTCATGATAGTCAATACTCATGAAAGTAACATGAAAATTGTCCTCAATACCTTTTAGCATTTGTGCTTTCAAATCTTCCCCTAGGGCGAGCACAGACTCTCAGCTCCTGCAGATAATCCCGCTGCTGCCCTAACTTCATATGGCATCTTTATTTTTATCCATAAACTTTGCACAATTTATGTGTAACAAGGCAACCAGAAGCTACAAGGCAATTTCCAGACCATATCCTGCAAACTTAACCACTAGCTCTCATAAAGCCACAACAACGTTTATAAGGGGGTCTCCCCCAGATGCTGAAATATTATTTGCTTGTGGTGTTATAGGTACTTGCTGTCACTGCAGTCTGGGAATTTTAATAGCTAACGTTCAAAACAAGTAAATGTAAGCGTTCGAATAAATTTATTTTCTAACTGCATACAGATGAGGCAAAAGGGAAAGCCCAATTTACAACATTACCAGTCAGGAAGTAGGTGAGGGCCGGACCCGTTCCAGGCCTCAGGATTTCAAGGCTCACTTAGCGAAAAATAAAAATTTGGGGGGGGGGGGGTTACACGACTCCCACGCTGTCCCCGGGACCAGGCCGCGGGGTAGGCGTTCCCTGTCCTGTCCTTCCCTGTCCTTCCCTCCCCCTTTCACCCCTCCATGCCGGGGGTGCCGAAGGGCTGTAGCGCCTCGCCCCAGGCCGGCCTCTCGTCCTCCTACTTCTCCCACCTCCCCTATCTGCACCTACCGAGGATCCCCGCGCCGCGGCCGAGGCGGAGCTCCGCGGGCTGGCAGCCTCCCAGCTGCCGTGCGGCGGGCGGAAGGAGCAGGGGAAGGGGCGGGCTGTGGCGCCATGCCGAGGCGGTGAGTGTTGAGGTTGGGTGCCCCTCAGCGGGGCGATGCGATTATCGGCCTGACAGGGCTTGAACCCACCAGAGTGAGCAGTGGCCTCGAACAAACCAGCGGGAGAGCTTTCCTTCCCTTCGGGAGGTCCGACCCGCTGCGCTGCCTGGAGCCGAGGAGCAAGGCCGAGGGGTGCTCCCCTAGGGGCACCGGAGCAGCAGCTGCGGCCCGGGGAAGGGGCTGTCTCCCAGGGTCATAAATCCATCCTGTGTCCTTGTGTTTCGTGCTGTAACCCCCTGTGTTTTTCCTGCAGAATACCTCACATATGTATTAGCAACACAGCCCTCCCACTGCAGCACAGGGATGCTCACTGGGAAGGCAGTAAGTGGCATGACTAGCATCCATCACAGAGTGTTTCTTTTCTCTGCCATCTCTAATAAGAAAATAACACACGCAGGGGTTTTTGTTTGCTTTAGAGTTACGATATGCTGGAAGCAGAAGATGGCCTGTGTAGTTTCTCAGTAATCCTGCATGGATTTGTTCCACAGCTTGGGTGCTCTAGGGAAGCTCTGCCCTTCGCTTGGCAGCCCTGGTTTGCTCTATAGAGCAGCGTCCTTTGGCAAGCACTGGCCTCCGGGGGCGTGACTCTGATCAGAGTCCAGCCTTGCCACTAGGTTGTGCAGCCCTTGCAAAACAAGGTCAGAGAATAGTTTTTGGCCAGTTTAGGGTTTTGTTTGGATAGTGGATAGTAGAAGATCAGTTTTGCCTCATCTATAGGAGAGGCATGTATTGATACTCAATGGTTGTTTTAAAACATCCCTTCACACCAGGCAGTCATGAGGTATCATTTTTTCACAATCCAAGTAGAAATAATGCTTTGTAATGGGTTGAGAAACAGCAGAATGGAAATAAAAGCAAGCCATGGTTATTATTTACTTAGATTAATTTGACAGATCTATATTTTTCTTCATAGCAGCCCCTGATTGCAGCCCCTCTTCATAGAAACCGTGACTGAGGCATTTCTTTCCAATAAAGGTTCAGCTCCTAGAAGTTTTGGCCTGAGATATGCTTTCACATGAAAAGATTAAGATTGCAAACTGAATTCTTAGTTTTTGTTCAAATTCAGATATTCCTCCAGGATTTTTGTGGACTTATCCTAGGGAGATAGCTAGGGAGATATTCACCTTAACCTTTTCCTACTAGATGATCTGTATTTTAGAAATGCTAGTGCTAAACAGGCCTGGATAGGCATAGCCAAGCACCCCTCCTTGTTGTGAGCAGAGGCTGATAATGACAGCCTTGGTTTTAACTTCCAGTAACGAAGTGTTAATTGCTAAGAAAACACACTCCCTCATGAGAGGGCACAGTTCTGCCCTTATGTTGTGGTTTTATGCAAAAGGCAAGGCAGATGAATGGTTTGCTGCCATCCAAAGGGAGAAGTCAGAGGAAAGATACCACCTTCCTCACCTCTCTCTTCCTCTGAACCACTTTTTGCCATATCTGGCATCCCTCAGTCCCTCTTGTGCTGCTTTTAACTCATTATCAGCAGAAAACATAGAAAATTATCTCTTTTTCCATCAGATTAGTAAACTGAATGGGATCATTGGAAAGTCTGAAAAGTGCCAGAGCTGTAAAAGGAGAGGAGACCTTCATCTCCACTTTATAACAGCTGAGAGCTGTTATAGCCATGGGTCTGCAGCCTCAGCATGTAGCTTTATCATTTGCCAAAACTTACCATTTGTAAGTTGGCATTGATATTTGTACTTCATGCAGATGTACAAGGAAAAAGTGCATGCGGGGGACAGTGGACAACTGGAGACCAGACTCCTTAAAACCAAACCACAGCGTATGATGGTACATTCTGAAAGTCTGAGAGTCCCTGGGGCTTACCTGGTGAATATGGAGGGACAGTGGGATGGGTTTGTTCAGCCTGACTTTCTGAAAGGTGATTCTTCTTTCTGTAGGAGCTAGAGATGTCTAAAAACTGATGGCTCCTTACATAAAAACTCAAGAGCCCAACACAGCATTGCATTTGCACTGTGGTTTCTCTTAAGAGCTTTATAATAAATATGATTGTGAAAAGTAGAAATCACAAGTTTACTAACTGACATGTTGACATGATTCTGGTTTCAAAAGATAGCTGTTATAATAAGGAAGGTGAAAGAAGACTGAGTTGCACTCTATTTCTGTTGCATAAGCGCACCGTTGTTATAGTCGGGGATCAAGGGATATAGACCACTTTTAAATTAGCCTGCTAGGTGGTGCTGTAGGACATGCTCTAAGTTACCAATTCAAAAAGATATTGCAGCTCGGTCTGATGTTTTACTAGAAGACGTATAGATGTCTACCATCACCTGCCTCTCAAACTTACCATTTTATACATAAATTCTTTTTGCTAATTTAGCAAAAACGTTGATTTTTAAGTGCAGAACCGAAAGTCATTGACTTCTCAATGATTTGTGTTGTCTCACAGTGTATTTTGCTTATGTGATCTCCAAAGTAAACGTGGTCAGTCAGTGAGTATTCACCAATCTGAGATACATGCATTTATTCTCCCAACCCCTTCTTCATCTGTGGAGTCCATTTATCTGCCCTTTTATGCAAGTTCAGGGGTAATCCAGCCTCCAGACATAAGCTTCAATGGAGGGTAGCATGAAAAGCCTTGCAATTCTGGCCCAAGTTTATGCAATATTGCATGTCCCAAATGTTTCTCCATGTAGTTCAGTTTTTGCAGGTGTCAGGTGGAAAAGACACTGCAGGATTCTGAGACTAGATAAATGCACTGTGTGAGTCTATGACCATAGAGTAACATTGATAGCAGGAAGAGAGAGATTATAAAGTCTTCAGGACAAGGATCTTCTGCTAATTATCTATGGAAGCAATCATGAAAACAAGGGAATGGATACTGTAGATATTAAGGGTTTCTACAAGAGTGTGTCAAATTAAGGATGTGAAGACAGCAAAGAAATTTGACGAATAACAGAAGAAATACTAGAGTCTGAAAAAAAGAAAAATCCTGAAGTGAGATATGTTGGTAGATCTGGGAAAAGTCTTGTTGTGAAGGAGGGCCATGACATGTCAGCCTGGTTTCTGGTGCAGGTGCCTGGGCCACTCTTCGGTGTTGCTGAGCATAGTGCTTCAGTAATGAGTGGCAAGCACATGGAGGAGCAGAGCAAGGCTCTTAAAACATACACTTAGAAAGTACCTGTATTGAGGTGACTCACAATGTGCTGGAAGTACTTCAAACACAGCAGAATGCTACAGACACTGCACTGAAAACTGATGTATTAAGTGACCATTAAGGTTCTTCACAGGTGTAGAGGGGTCAAGCCTGTTCATACTTAGATGATAATCATAGTGCCTTGAAGGGAAAGGAAAGCTGGTGGCAAAATGGCTTTCTAGCCTGTTACTTTGAGCAAGTTGCACATTTACATATTGCAGATAATAGCAAAGTGACCATGGGATTGGAGTGTACAGTATTAAGCAAAAGCACAAAGGTGCAGCTATTGAGATCTCACCAGTTTCAGTTGTTGAGAGGGGAACATATTGGCCAATATTGCCAGTGTTTCTTTGCATGTCCTGTTCCCATTGCTCATCCCACAGTTCCACCCCACGTGGAGCATTCATGTCATGCAGTGGGATGCAACTGCAACTTTTGTCTGTACTCTAGGATTTTGCTATGGGCTCAGGTAGCACAGGTTAGAATCATGTTTTCCCTTGTGTTAAGGTTTGGCTGGAATGGCAAAGCTCTGCTAGTCTTAATGCTGATTACCAAAGCCATGTGTAAAAAGTAGCAGGACAAAAAGTTTCCTGTCTCCTTGTTAAGCTTTTTCTGTAGGAAAAAAAAATAAATAAAAGAATTATTTATTCCCAACTATTCATCTTATTCCTGGGGTAAGTATGTGTTCTTAAAGATAAATACAATACTTTGTGCTGTCCTCCCTCAAGAGGGATGATACGTGGACAAATATGGTAAAGGGTGGGTGTTCAGGAGCACATCTGTAGGAACAGAAAAGGGAATTCTATTTCTGGTCTCAAAATCATCAAATCCCAGTATTCAAGGAGTAAAAAGATGCCAATTATGTTGTTGGGTTTGACAGGTATATAGATCAAAGCAATCAAAGTAAACCAGAGTCTTTAGAGGAGATGAGGAGATACTTTCTTCCCTCTGTTCCACAGTTTAGAATTGGTCAGGGATCAAAAGCTAGTCTTTTAGAAGGCAGCAAAGAGGCTGTGAGGCATTTGGCTGGCTACATGACTCTCTGAAACTGACTTCTGTTTCCACTCAAATACCCTTGGCATTACATTATGAAACATTCCTTTGCTGGTGCAGATCTGCTCATGATTCAGGGAGGCTCTTTATGATGGCAGATATGGGAAAGGGAAAATATGCAGGTGATCATGGTTTTATCACTTTACTATTGCATTTTTAGATCTCAACACTAATTGTACAAGCTCCTTCAGTTCTAGCTGGATGTACTAGAAGTTAAAGCTTGAGTGTCCTGTGGAGTAGAAGAGAAAAATCCTCTCAAACAGGACTTCTCAAGTATATTCATTAAAACATTGCTGATCTGAATGTACTTTGCAACCTATGCTGAGGCTGACAGACATGTATCCAGGTTAACGTGAATACTGGTGGAAAATCTGATACCAGCAGCAGAGAGCTGAGAAGCAAAACCACTAACAGATTCTGGGCAAAT